CAGGAATGCATCAGCTGCAATCTTCCATAGCAGGAAGAGATGTCTGAGCATCTTGACAAATATGATCAGCACAGAAACATCAAGATATTCCAAATGAGTTGGTATTTTTCATCACATTCCTTAGACTGTTATTACTAAATTATTTCCAGAAAGTTAACTCTTCACTAGTGACTATGGGGCCAAGAGTTTGGCTTCCAACTACATCTGGCTAGCTTGCAGAGACTGACTGCCTAAATAAGATACATGTGTAGCTCAGCTATTCTATTCAGATATAGTAGTTTAAAAATGCTTCAGACACTGAGATGAGTATCATTTAAAGGACACTTCTCACAGTCACTTAAACTGTTTTATAGTTTTCAAAGTAAAAGTAATTTCAGGTACAGACAGTATTTTCGAAGTGTTGAAACGATCACTTGGTCTAAAATAAAACAATAATTTCTGACTATTTTGTAGAAGTATTTAAAAAACTTCACTAGGTATGACTAGCGTCTAATTGCACTTAAAGGTACAATTTCCAGTGGAACTATTCTGGAAGGATGAGGAATTTAAAAGTTGGAGAGGTTAAACACCTCAATAAAATTATTTCAGGGGACTTAATTGTTGTAATTATTTCTTACAAAACTTTCTTAAAATAATTATCTAGCATCACTACTGAAGATCTGTTTTCAAATGACACAAAGATATCTTGCATTATCTGCTTATGTTCTCAACCTCTTTATTACTTTTTTAAAATTTAAATTTACATAATATACACTAAATGTATGTACTATGATAGTCTGAAGAAAATCCAGAAAAACTGCAAGTGTATTATGAAAATCCTAAGTGCTTGTTTAATACTGAAAATTTCACTGAATTATTAGTTTTTAAATACCATTGAAGGCAGACCTAATTTAAAAAGTAATTGAATGAAATGCTGATTGTTTCAGCAATATATTATACAAGCTAAATACATGGATCCGCAAGACCTGTTTCTTTAATCTAATATCCTATATATCTCTTTCACAAAATGACTCTAAGGAAAATAATCCCTAATATATGTATGTTCCTATTAAGACTAGGATCTGCTATCTGGTGACTTACCTACTTTGCAAAACCATATAAATCCTACACAACATGCTTAGAGGAACTCTCATTTCCAGACCTGTAGATGAACACTCCAGATGGTTTGATGCAGGTACTGTTATTCAAGAAATTACAGGTATCTCAGAAGATGAAATATCTATTTAACAGCAGATGTTTGACATACAAGTGAAAGACAGACGATATTGTGGCTTTACGCTCCATCCTTGCTTACCAAAAATGAATCAGGATTAAATGCTGCTGAAATAAATACCATTTTGATACAAAACAAGTGTGAGAAACTTTTAAGCTCCAGCAGCTTGAGAAGAAGGTAATTTCCACCTTCACTACCCTATTGTGCTGTTTCCCAGATTTGAAGAAACCGGGTTTTAATCTAGTTTGTGGATAAAACTATTTTATCTTTTCTAACTTTCTTATTTTTCTGAGCTGCAAGTACATTTGTTTATATTAATTATGATGAGCAAACAGGATCTGCCTGTCTACTTAGAAGTTTTAACTGGAAAGGCAGACGTTTCTTCACATTTTGTCAGTATCTCAATCTTTTCAGGTCCATGTTCCAGCAAAGCGAAGATACAAGAAAGGTAACAGACAGAAGACAACTGCTTCTAATGGTTTTACCAGAGTAAGACCACAACATCCGCAAACGCAGCAGGAGAACAAGAGCAATGGACTTCAATGCAAAGATGATTGCTCCTTTCTGAGAATCTAGAGCCAGACACGATGGCAGGACATACACGCGCACGCCTATTTGACAACTGAAAGGTTTCACAAGGGGATGCTTTACATAGGTTACATCTCTCACCACAGCAAGAAATTACTAGTAAAGCTTTGGGAATACCAAAATAGATTACAAAAATTCCAAAAGTAAAATTTTCTACAGAGCTGAAGGCAAGATCAAAGCATACAGTCAAGTGTTTCTTGTTTAAAAGGTATTTTAGTGTATTAATGAATTAATGTTTTTTGGCTAAAAATAGAAGGAAACCAAGAATATAACACGTTGAAGCCCCAACTACTACTGGAATTTTAATTAATAATATATTTATTTATTTTACCCTGTTTGGAAACCCAGGTACTGGAGACTAATTTGTTAAATTAACAAGGCAGATTTCAACCTTTAACTAACAAAATTAATTATTTAGAACACAGACTAAATTTGAAAAAAGCAGAGATGAACTCCGGAGACTAAAATATACAAGATGCTGCACATCTCCAACTTTAAATTGACAGCATGTGGAATTTTTCAGCTTAGGTCACAAATTGCAAGTGGGGAATAAGGATAGTGTATGATGAGTAAAGCACCAGATAGGCATCCAGTCTTACACCTTTATTTTCAGGTCTATCAAAACAAACAAACAAACAAAAAAAAGTAAAAAAACCTATAATGAATTTGTTTCAGAAACAGATTGTTCTTCCCTAAGAATATAGACAGACATGTCATTCAAGCCATCTAAAACAAACTACTGAAGACGGAATATCCATTTGGCTTCATTCCAGTCTTCACAATAAGGTTTCAATTACAAGATATTCAAACACACACAAAAACCCCTTCAGAATTCAGGGTTCAGAAACTTGAAACTATACAGAGAACCTTAAATGTCCATGAAGCCTGTACTATAAAACAGAATGTCGTGTTTACTTGCTTAAATGTAATGCCTTCCTTAAACCTAATACAAAATGTTAATAAAAATACTGGTGCTGCCTGCCTAAAAAATTCACTATTTCTACTAGTATTTTGACACTAGTCATCTCTTCTCATTTGTAACGACAGTTACAATTGGGTAATGGGCAATGCTCAAAGACTAAAAAGAGGAGTCAAAAGAAACTGAAGCCTGGCTTGAATGATCAAGGATGTCCTCTTGCACTGCTGTCAGAGTTGTGACTGAAGAGGTTCTGATATCTTGGACTATTAAAACAGCAAAGTTTCTGATTGTAGATTGCTTCAAGTTTGAAGTGCAGGAATTTTACCCATGTTGTAAGGCTGGATTGAAAAATGTAAAGCTGCAAGAGAAAGAAAAATTTGTTTTAAAATATTACATCATGCTACATTCAATAACTGAAGTTTATTATAAAAACACTTCTTTGTTCAAGAAAATTCTAAAAAGAGTTGACAGGTGACAGCAAGTACTACAGTTCATTAGAACCTTTGCACAGACTACGTTATGGTTTTGGTCTTGTTAAAGAATCCTCTTGGTAAGTCCACACATCAGCATGAAAAGATGCACCTTGAAATCAGAAAGTCATAGATGACACATAAAAAGAGAGACAATAATTAATACAAAGCATCCACAATCTCTCTTAGGATTGGGAAATTTTCTTCAGTGTGCTACTTGTAGTAATTAAATGTATCTGTTAGATGAAAAACTCAGCATTGGATCATTTATTTTCAACATATAGAGGCTATCTTAATTTACATACATTCAGTTTATATAACAAAACCAAGTTTCCATAGAAATTGGTTACTGTGAAGTAAGTAAAATGGGCAGAAACCAAAAAACTGTGTTTGCTGTAAAAGCTATACTTTTGAGTAAAGTAAGAGACATAAAACTGAGAGCTGTCAGAATAATGTGGACAGTAACCAGCATTTTAAGTGGTAGTGTATCATTTCTGTGACTGTGTACAGAAAATTATTTACTATAGAAGTAATTGCCACTTCAGTCCTTTGCACCTGTGGTACACAGCATAGGGAAAACACTGCAACAGGACTCAAATCTCAAAAGAAAATCACAGAATGGTTTTGGTTGGAAGAGACCTTAAAGATCATCTAGTTCCAACCACCCAGAACGGGCAGGGACATCTCTATTGAAAATTACATCCTAATGCTGAACTCACCTACAAGGAGTTTTTAAGGATGTTTTAAGGACTTAAGGATTTAAAGCATGTCCTTTATCTGCATTTCTGCCCCTGCCCTCCATCCCCTTAATGGCACTGTGCAGCAGTCTTCTGTAAAATCTGTTGCAAATCTGTATATACCACTGTGTCTCAGCTGAATATTCACAACAGCTTTAGCAGAGCTCATGTTCCAGTTAGTAAAGTAATATGGGATGGATTCAAAGCTCAAGTCACACGAGTGTTTGTCCAAAAATATGTGCACTACCTTGTTCAGACCATATATACACTAGCAGTTTCTCTTTTTTCTTTTTTTGTACAAATCTAACAGAGGTAATGTATTTTTTCAGGTTTTGATCTTCTAGAAACAAGAACAACCTAACTTCAAAGAAATACTACCAACAGACCTCTTTATACACAATTTTCAGCACAGGAAAAAGATAATGCAAGCAGTATTGGTATTAATCATAAATCCTAGCCATACTGCAGCAGTGTAATATAATCCATATAAAAAACTACTAATAAAATTTTACAGCTATAAACATAAAACAGTGGATTAATTCAGCTTTTCTACAGCTATGGCTGGACATGCATGACAGCTTTTCATCATGTTACAAGGCTTTTCACACTGGAAAAAAGCAGTAACAGAGGCAAAAAACCTAAAAGCATCATCCATTACACTATATTGGCAACATCTCACATGCTCTGCAGTTTAACATACTCATATTATTCAATTAATATGTACTAGAACTAAGGCATCAAAATTATTCTAGTTACTGATTCTTGTGAATAATGTGGTCACAACAATTATTCATTTGCTGTACAGGCATCTACCCTTAAAAAATATGCACACATAACTTGATGGTGTTTATAAGTTTGGAGCTTTAATCTCCTTCCTCAACCATTCTCTTTATATTGGTTCTAAAAATTTTATGATTGCCTGGTTCCAAAATAATTTACTGAAATATTAGCACTGTTTCCAAAAAGAAGTGTCCTAATATTTTTTACTACAGGAAAAATACAGCTTTCAGATTTTCACCCATCAACCAAAGTAATTTCCTGTACTGGAGTTGTGCAGGAATTTTTCAGTGACTATGTGTATGCAAGAGATCAGGAATACTGTATCTTAGCTAACTCACCTCCCACACTTCCCAACTGTCTTTTCTAATATTACCACCTTTTTCTCTATACTGAAGCAGCCGAAACGGTGGTAAAGAAGACCCTAACTAAAACTCTGATTCTGCACCACTTAATTTTTCTGTAAGCTCTAAGAAGGCAGATTTCTATGCGACCACACAAACTGCATGATCAAATCCCAAGCAACAAATCAAACAAACCAAAACAGGAAAAGAAAAACAACCAAAACAAACCACAAAAGAGAATGCCCAAATTCACAAAGCCTATTAAAAAAACCCACTACTAGAATCACAGAAATCAAAAGAGGAAGTCACCAGCAACAAAGCTACAAACTTCTATTGTGATACAGTGTTTTCTACAAAACTTGCTTAGAAGGAGTATCTCAAGTTACATACTATGAATTATTAATCAGAAATTGGTGGAATTTCCTCTATTAAACAAGATAACATCAAGACAAGGGAGACAATCTGAAAAAGGTCAAGTCATGTTGTATCTCAGCCTGCAGAGAACTTGAACATCTACAGTGAAAACTGGAGAAATTTATAATATGAACCTCTACATCACAAGGATGTATATGATGCATACAAGAAGAAAACTTCCATTAGCAGATTGCTCAGCCTGCACAGCTCTCATCTTCACCTGGCTCTACCAAGAAATTAAACATTTTTTTCCTCTTCACCTGTCTGTAAAGACCTTTGAGCTGTCTTCAGGAAAAATAATTATTGTTTGTGACAAAGGTTAGTATTTTCAATACCATTTTAACTGATTAAGAAGTTGGTTTTTAGTAGCTTCACTCTAATATTTTTCTATGCATACCCATAGACATACACACATTTATGTGTATTATTTATGCTATTTGCTGATGAGAAAACATCTGACAGCAATAGGGCAAGACAATAGCAAAGTCAAACAAGTTGAAAGCAACACTATGAGTAACAATAACTAAAGCTCTGCATTGAAAAAAAGATGCTTCGGATATGCCCAAAATTAGTAAATACAGAAAGTTACAGTGTTATTATCTCACTGGCCCAGAAAAAAAAGGCTTTTGTTTTTCCTACAAAAGAACAATTTTGTTTCAGTAATGTTAATACATCAAGCAAACTGACTGAAACAATTAGCACTAAAGCCAAACTTGGACCACCCACTTTTCTGGGTAATGAAGATATAAATTATGAAACAGCTACATTGGTTCGAGTTTATAAGCATCAAGACAGGTGGAAAACAGAGCATGAAATTTACTCTTCACAGCTCAGGTGCCAAAGAATTAAAATCTATTAATAGAAAAATACATTTCAGAATTTTGTGTTTGTGTACTAAGTATCTTTCTAGCTTTAGTGAATCTCCTCTTTTTCAGTGAAACAGCTGGCTGGGTCAACAGTTTTGTAACACAGACATATTTAAAAAAAAAATCACAAACAAACACAAATTTAAGACTGACATTACAAAGCTGAGGATCACCATCTGTGGTAACTCAAGGGCTCTCTTAAACCAACATCAGCTGTTGATACATACATTACATTATTCATCCAGCAGCAGTAAGAGCTGGCTGCAAAAATTGGTTTGTTGCATTTAATCCTGTAACAGGATACACATAGTATGTGTATCTTCTGTAGCATTACTTTGACTTCATAGACTAGAATAAGCAGATGTAGTCCTGCCTCACTGACGTATCTTCCAAGTATTGGTCAGATCCATTTAGTATATAAAATTTAAGATTTTCTGAACTCTAATGACGTTAAGAACAAGAAAACTCACAGAATGTTTAAAATCTTAGCAAAAATGCAAAGAAAACAGGAAGAGTTCGACTCAACACGCATCAAGCAGTTTTAACTCCAAATATGCACATTTCCCTTAAAAATATCCTTAGAAGAGTTTTTGTATGACAAAGCAGCCTTTCTGAATTTTCACAACGCATTGAAACACAGACTGCCCATATATTAACACAATGGTAGAAGTACAAGAGATTATAAAAACTCAGGAAATGCAAACTGAATAAAATTAAATATTATTATAGAGGCATAAATGGCAACAAGACAGCTGAAAAATGAAAGGCTTTTTTTAAAGAAAAACAAAACTTAAGGAACTAAGTTTGAGTGTCCCTTCAATCAGGTAATTTTCACCAAGCAGGCAAAGCAAACCTCGCATTAATTCTTTTAATAGGTGACATTGATGCAGTTACTATAGCTGCACAGTAAATGCATTTTATGTATCAGTTTTTCAAACATAGTATAGTAAGTCAATAAAACTCACAAGGGCCCTTCTAAAGATACAAATGAATGCTATAACAACCTCAGGCACCAAAGACAATTGTTCCATATTTCACCTGGACATACAGAGCTCTAAAGCACGTTCACTGAAAATTACTGTAAAATGTTTCTCTCACATAACTCAGAAACATCTTCAATTTGAAAAGGGAAAAAAAAATAATAATAAATAAGAAAAGCTGTCAGGTAGAACTGCAACTACTAAAAAATACTCCAATATTAAAGCCAGAAAATAAGAAGTGATAATAAAGGAATTCTTATGTTTTGATCGATAGTTCATTAGTGGAGCCCAACAGCCTTTCTCAGTTCATTTACAGTGTAGAATAACTTCTGTCATGGAGGGACATTATCAACTTCAGATGCAACCTCATTAGGTTTAGTAAAGTACTATTTACTATTAGGTTTAGTTAAAGACAATTTCAGATACGGCCACATGGAAGTTTTACAGGGGTTTTTTGAGACTGATGTTCTTCTTACCCCCCCAGCTAACTTCACTACTGTTACATAAAAGTCTCACAGCAATGGTTATACAAATTGAAAAAAAACCTGTATCTCTAGGTATTAGAATCAGGCCTCTACCAGATGAAAGTCATGTAAACAACTACTTGATTTTTTGGTTGCTGGTGATCCTTCAACATAAGATGTCTCTGGAAAGAGGGAAATGACAATCTGGACCACAGACATCTTATTTCTTCTCTGAAAAAAAGTCAAGCTTAAAGTACGTATTTTAACAGCATACCAGAATTACACATTCATCAAAAAAATGTATTAATACAAACATAGCTAATTTATTTTTTTTTGCTAAACTAGTTTCTAATGTCCTATTTAAAAGACATAAAAATCCATGTATTTTGGAAATTAATCGACAGTATAACAGAGAGGCTTCCATTTTAAGGCCTTGCCCTATTGTTTCGGTACCAGCAGTATGAAACATTTTGTGAGAGAGGAAAATAATAAATCTTCTGAGACCAATAATAAATTCCTCAGACACAAAGCCACACACACCTGTTGCCATGTGGCTTTTTGCAAAAGCCACACTGCTTGCTGGGCACCCAAACAGATTTGCTTTCAGTAGCAGAGGTATGTTCCAAGCCTTCCCGTTTAACAGTTGAAATGTTATCTGGAATGAACAGTGGAGGTTCATCAAGTGAAAGGCTTTTACTACTTCTTCTCTGCCGGGGTTGGAGATTCTTATCAGTTCTTTTTGATTTGTTTTTTTCTTTATCATCCTCCTTCAGATGTTCTACAACAGAGGGATCTTTTGTCTCTGCCTCTTCCTTTGTGGAGCTATTAGTTTTTAGCAGAGTTGCAGGCTGGTGCTTATGACCCTGGCCTTGCTTCTGACCAAGATTTGAAACATGCCCTGATAACAACTGCACAGAGTGGTGAGTGTCTTTAGAACAGCTTTGATGAGTAGGAGATTTCTCACTTGCTCTTTGAATTGATGACTTCTGTATGTGCCCAGAAGCCTGGAGCCGGGGTATTTTCTTCAGCATTGCATTTGTCTGCTTTTTTACAGTCATCCCTGAAACAAAGGTCTTGCCTTTCAAACCCAGATCAGATTGTTTCTTCCTAATTTTAACTGGGTTATTTGGATGCTGATGACCCTCTTGGTCATCTGCAGTCCGCTTCAGACTTGCTGAAGATGAACTGTGAAGACCTGAAACAGTAAGACCAGCTCTTGGTCTTGAACGCACTATTTCTTGTTGCACTATACCCGATTTCTGCCGAGTACTTGCAGACAGGTTTTGCTTACTCTGTATTATAGACTTACTATGCCTGGGCTTAATGTTCTTTTCACATTTTGATGAAATGCTAATTTGTTTACCATCATCATGAATTTTTGATGTCTCAGGGCCATCTACATTAGTACTGCTGAGCTGCTGCCGCACATTTTGGCTTGTTGGGTCAAGAACAGTGCTTTCTAAAATGCCATTTCCTGGGTCAGGAGAAGTAAATTCTTTGCTTTTCAACTCTTTATTATCAAACTCTATACTACTGTCCAATAGTTTCTCAGATGAAGCTGCCGTTTTCTCCACTCCCTTGTCATCATCTGCAGCTTCCATTGGAACTGCCACATTGTGGGAATCTAAACTACAGTCACCCCTCTCTTCTACAGAGCTGGACAAACTTAAAAATGTCTCAGAAATTTCACTTGGATTCACATAAGCACTACATGGATCATTAGCTTTTCCAGTTACCCCACTTTGATTATGTTCTTCTGTTCTCTTTTCTGATCCCTCCGTTTTATTTTCAGTCTTTTCTACTGAAGACATTTCAGAGCCCACTGAATCAATCACATCATTTGCTTCATTCTTAATTGCAGTAACTTCAGTATCTGCAGATACTGAACAAACTGGATTCCCGGACTCAGTCTTTGTTGCAACCTCTGTTGCCTCCTTTGTTTCTCCAGGAAAAGGAGAACAGGCTCCTGATAAGTTACCACAACTTAACTCTTGGGACGTTTCCTCAACTTCTGCCTGCTCAAGGGTTTCACACTTTATTTCATTCACCTCTTTGGGACCAGGAAGACATTTTGTACTAGTTTGGGATGCTGTTACTGCTGCTGTAATTCCTTCTGTCTGTCCTGATCGCCTTGTACTACGCCTAACTTCTTTAGGCTGTTCTGTTTTCAAGGGTGCAGCAATATCTGTCTCTTTAGCTGGACTTCTCTCTTGTTTCTGTCCAGTTTTTGGAGCAGATCCACTTTTTCCAGATGATTTCTTGGTACTAACAAGAGGTGCAACATTTGAACGCTTGGCTAAAGTGCTCTGTCGCAAACTCCGTACTGATTCTAGGAAGAGAAAAAGAAAACATCTTAGCCTTACTGTGTTCTCCTCTTAGCAAGTACAATAATTACCTAAAATCGAGTTGATTTAGCCTGCTTTAGCTTACTAGACAAAAGATAATTTAAAACTTGGTTGCTTATGAAACCGAAAAAAACAAAAACACGAAAAAAACCCCAAACAATAAAAACTCCAAACAGCCCCTCAAAAAAACCCCAAATCAAAAGCTGTCTATTTTAAAATGTTATCGATTACTTGCATTTCAGTTTGACATTGTCACAGTTTAGATGTAAAATCTCATTACTCTATTGGCAAGGAAGTTCTGAATAGTATATACGAGGCAGAAGTGATGATAAAAAAGACAATCAAATTCCATCCTACATTTCTACCACTCAACTTTTTGTATAAAAATAAACTTAATTAAAATTTAAATTGGAAATAAATAGACATGCTAACCTAATATTCCAATGCTGTCTGCAAAAACAACATGTTTTTTTGGTGAAGAACCATAGTATTAATCTGATGCAGATAAAAGGATCGAAATATCAAAAATCAGCTTAAGGACCACAAGCTATAAGGAAGACATTAAATATATATGAAAGAAGAATTCTAACTGAGTAGTACCCTATGGATGCTAACTTCTAGCTACAGTGTATAAAAAACGAAGTGTCTGTACCTGAATTCAATCAATCAAATAGCAAAGCTTTATTTTAAATTTTTAAATGTTGGGGGGTGGGATTATAAAAATTCAAACTACTTCAAATGTATAAAAACACATCATCTATTGAATGATCACCTTGTGCCATTAAACGCGGTGACTTTCTTGGTGATGTGACTGATGTTTCTTCACGGCTCCTCAAATTCCTGTTAGGTAAAACAAGCTCATCATCATCAATGGTGTCGTTACCACTCTCTTTAACTCCTTCTTCATCCATAATATCATCAAGACCAATAACTGGAAAAAACAAACAAACAGCAGAGTCTAAACATGATAAAAAAATGCTTGCAGTTGTAATGCTGAGCAAGACAGGGGAAGAGACAGGGAAAAATAAAAAAAATTGCCATCTGAAAACAAACAATACGGGGAAAATTAAGACAGGCAAGACAGAAAAATCCCATGTGAGGCAGTTTCAGTGTAGAAGAAGCTATCACTCAAAGCTTAAAATTTCTGTAGATAGTCCTTAGAGCTTTTTTGGGGACTCACATTTTTGCTGTTGTTTGTTTTTTTTTGCCACAGGAAGGTCCCCAGTCTTAGAGGATCAGCTGTCCCTCACTGTCCCTTCCCACCTAAGAAAAAGTGAAGAAAGGTAAACAGCAGAAAGAGCTGATCCAGAAGTGCAAAGACTTTAAATATCACTGTTTTCTCACAGGATGCAATCTTAAAGCTCCCAGTTCCACTCACATATCTGTATCTGCAACCCTGTTTCGGAAAATCATTGAATGTAGCACACACTAATCTCCCGGGAGAGACAGAGAATGCTGTCTTTGTCACATTTCTATCCTCCACTAACCTGAGAAGGGTCCCAGAGGTTGCTCCTAAAAATAGGTTTCCTTAAAAGGCAGTCAGGGCACTGTACCAGCCTTTTCCTCACTTTCTCTAAGTTGGGCTCTACAATGGTCACCTCTCCTATCCCAAGATCCTATGTGCAATTAATGAATCCTTGTGAGACAAAGCCAAACACCCAAGTGATTTTACAAAACATGTAGGAGAGTCTGACAAACACAACAGACTCTGAACAACCAAGTATGACTATTTTTCACTACTAAGGCACCTACTGAAAGCATTTTTAAGATAAAGTAACTCACATGACACAAATAAGGTATCTAAAAATTTCTAACAATTGCTTGCTTAAGTTATTTAAATTAATATACCTATCTTAGAAATTAAAATAAGGCAACAGAAGTAAAAAACTCTTAGAATTTTAGACTGTCCCAAAAAAAAAATATAATAAAATCCATCAATTCCTGCTCCTTTTCAAGCCTAGTGTTACTGCAACTTAAAAAAAAGTAATGCTCCTGTGAAGGCACTATGAGTTGTAAAACTGCTAAAAAGCCAGTGATGAATAATCAAGCCTATCAAGACTGTAAATCAGTCCACAAACATCTGTCTTGAAAAATTAAAAATACAAACAAACAACACGTTAAGGTTCAAACATTAGAAAGATTTTAAACAGCCTCTTAAGGAAGGCTGACCTTGGCACCAGATAAGTGGCACTCTGAACCTCCTAACTGGATGGCCACCAGGAGCTGAAAGCTAGGAGTTTCTTGAGCTGAAAATTTACCGTTTAGCATTTTATCTTAACCACAATTTTTACTTGCTGCATTGTATACGTCAATTCACAGGAAAAGTGTGTTTCTGGAAATTACCAGAAGCTTTCAATTTCTGATCCACCTTTATGCCTGCATGTGTGTACATATGTACACAGATATCTCACACAAGCTGCAAATGACTGATAATGCTGGTCTTACTCCACTCATCACTGAGAGCTTTAAACTACATGTGAAGAGGGAAGGGGAGAAAACTGGGTCTGTTAGGGAAAAGCCCAAGAGGAACATACCAGAACCCAAAGGCAGGTGGTCTAAGGAGGATTTAGTCCCACCACTGTGCTCTGTTTGTTTCCTGAAATGCCTGTATGCTAATGCACGCAGCATGGGGAATAAGCAGGAAGAGGTAGAGGTGAGTTTGCGGGCTAAGGGTTATGATCTGGTAGCAATAACAGAGACATGGTGGGACAGGTCACATGACTGGAATGTGGCCATGGATGGTTATGTGATTTTTAGGAAAGATAGGGCAGGGAAGCGAGGTGGTGGAGTTGCTCTTTATGTGAGAGAGCAACTAGAATGTATTGAGTTTTGTGCAGGGGCTGATGAGGGGCAAGTTGAAAGTCTGTGGGTAAGAATTAAGGGGCAGGCTGGCGTGGGTGGTACAGTTGTGGAGGTCTACTACAGACCTCCTGATCAAGGTGAGGAGGTTGATGAGGCTTTCTACAGGCAACTGAAAGCAGCCTCACAACTACAGTCCCTGGTCCTCATGGGAGATTTCAACTACCCTGATATCTGCTGGAAGACTCACACAGCCAGCCTTTCACAGTCTAGGAGGTTCCTCCAGTGCATTGATGATAACTTCTTAATGCAAAGGG